CCCCCCCCCCCCCAAACAGTGAACATCTGTTGGGTCAGGGGGTTCACTGTATTTCATGGTGCTTTCTATGAAGCACCATGAGTTACAGTGGAGAGCTGCACATCTCATAGCACATGCCCCCTCTGAACCTTGCCAGTTGCTGAACTATAGAGACAGCTATAATGGATTCTCCCCATGCTGGATCAGAATTGTAACAGCATCTGGTACAAATTCTTACAGTTCATGCAAAACTAGCATTTCCCCCCCCCTTTGTAATCTCTGCAAGTTATCTTTACCAGGGTCTCAGGCCTCTGGCCACCACCTTTCTCAGGACAAGTTCCTACATTTAGTTGCCTCCAAACATGGGTTCTGGGCGGCAGGCTCTTCCAGTTTTTGTGACTGCTAACACATCTGACTTCAGTTCCCCACCTGCAGTCATGTTCTCTTAAGGGAAAGGAATAAGATTTACCAGTGACCAGCCAACTTTCATTAAAACTAAGCATTATTTATTCAGTAAAAAGTGTTTTGGAGAAAATGCAACCTAAAACAATAAGCAGTTTGTACACTTGTATAACGTAGCTGGAGTTAACCATCTTTTATATCTTTTATATAGTACTTAGGGTCAGAAGGGTCCTAAACAGATCATCAGGTCTGACCCCCCCCCACCACCACCACCACCAAAAAAAAAAATTTGGGGGATGTGGGGGCCCAGCCAGGAGTCTGGGCACACACCCAGGCTTGAACACACAACTGTTAGGCCTTGAAGTCAGCACACACACCCCTACGCAGGCAAATGGAAGCTCTGGCATGTGGAGGAGGCTCTGGCAATATGGAGGCTCTGGCATGTGGAGGGGCCTGTTATCAGTTCTTGGTTCAAAAGTCTCTCCCTCACCACAATTGGGCTGTCATGTTACACAGTTTCAAGTCTTTTCTCATTTTAGTTGTCTTGAACCAAGTCAAGCCAGGCTGTCTAACCTCTTAAGAGGAATATTCAGGACTGGGGATTTTCATGAATTACCCTCCAGGAGAGGGGAATTAGGATTTTTTTCAAATCTCTTAAAAGAGATTGTATGCCTCATAACTTTGCCTTTTGCTTCCAATACTGAGAATGCAACATTAGGAAATAGATTTGGACTTTACGATCTGACTTACCTTTATAGTCCAGTCATCTACTAGCTGGTGACTCAGTAACACTCATCCAAAGCTCTGTGGGTGAAAGCAAGAACAGAATTTGACCCAAGAAGCAGGGTCATGTGGTTGAGATGCTGGATTGAGACTCATTAAATTTTAATTACTTTCCCTGCTCTGTCAGAAACTTCAGTATGATTTGAGGCAAGTCACTTAACCATTCTACACTTCAGTTTCCCATCCTTAACATGGGAATAATGTTATTACCTCCCAGAGACGTTGGGAGCAGTAATTTATTGCTGTTTATAAGGTGATGAGATCCAATGGTGGTCTGGGCCATTAGAAAAGATGCTTGCTTTTCTGCGTGTCTGTATACGTACAAAGAACTTCAGCAGGCTGGCACTCCAGTGTATAATAGTATAATATGCTGCCTTGCTTCAGCCCTGTGATTTGAAGGGGACGTGGTTTCATAGGACCCTCTGTTTAAGGAGCTCCTTAAAT